TCAGGTACGGGAAGTAGATGGCAATAAACTTGTTCAGATCAGAAATCCATGGGCAAATGAGGTCGAGTGGAATGGCCCTTGGTCTGATTCATCACCTGAATGGACAGATAGGATGAAGCACAAGCTCAAGCATGTCCCGCAGGTAGTTTCAATTTGTTTTCCCCTTCACTGGTCTGCATAAGTGTACTATATGTTTTTTTTTTTTTGTCTTGCATGAAATTATAACTAGGTAATCTTATTTACTTTATTAATGAAAGCATTGCTGTATCCATTCGTAAACAGGCAAAAGATGGTATATTCTGGATGTCTTGGCAAGATTTTCAGATACATTTCAGGTCGATATATGTATGCCGTGTCTACCCACCGGAGATGCGTTGTTCTGTTCATAGTCAGTGGAGAGGTTACAGCGCTGGAGGCTGCCAGGACTATGATACTTGGCATCAAAATCCACAGTTCCGCTTGAGAGCCATGGGGCCTGATGCATCCTTACCTATTCATGTGTTCATTACCTTAACTCAGGTATTTTTGTATGTGCAAGCTTATTAATCATCAAATAACTGCATCCCGTTTACTTCATGACAAACTGTGTCTAAGTAGGGGGTGAGCTTCTCGAGAACAACAGCTGGTTTCAAGAATTTCCAGTCAAGCCATGATTCTCAGATGTTCTACATAGGAATGAGGATTCTGAAGACTCGTGGACGTCGTGCTGCCTACAATATTTACTTGCACGAATCAGTTGGTGGCACAGATTATGTAAATTCTCGGGAAATATCTTGTGAAATGGTCCTTGATCCTGATCCAAAGGGGTATACAATAGTGCCAACAACCATTCATCCTGGTGAAGAGGCACCCTTTGTTCTCTCTGTATTCACCAAAGCTTCAATAGCTCTTGAAGCTTTATAGTACAGCTACGGCTCCTTTTTCTGGATAGATCCTTGCAGTAGTGGGGTTGTGCAATGACCTTCATATGTGCCAGCCGGCTAAATAATCCAAAATGAGGGACAGTCATTTGGTAAATTTCTTATACCGGACCAGTACTCCTCCTTTACCTTTATATCAGATATGTTAATATGGTGATTGCTCTGATTTATCAAATACTAACCACTGAATATGCACTAAACACTTGATACCTTTTATTTTGTGTTAGCAGATTGTTCACGATGTGGTTCTGATTGCAGCTGGAATCTTGGCTTCGAGGGAATTTGCTGACCGCGCAAGTGTGCTCTTCATCACATAATGTGTCAAAAGCCAATAGCATCTCGGTGTCGTTGATTTATGGGCATCCAAGAATGCGAGTCTTCGTGCTTTGGCAATTTGATTGGCCTTTACCGAGGGTTGTAGAGGATAAAAATGTGTACATTACTAAATGTTGCAAGACTATAGGTTGTAACCTTGTAAATGAGCAGTAGAAGAAAAGGGTTCAAAGAAATAGGTATACCTTGTTAGGGGATCACAAAATAGCAATGTAGCTGGAAAAAAGTTGGAAGTTACAACTGCAATTTTGAGGGTAGATATCAATTGTACAAATTGTTTTCTCATCATTTTTCTTTAAACAATCTTAATGTAATTTTCATTTATCTATATTTGGTGATACTTTGTTTTCTGGGTTATTGATGATAAAAGGAAGCTAAAAATGCAATAGAAGTTAACCGTCTTGTTATTCAAAACAATGTCATTACATGAAAATTGACATGAATATCAAACTAATTATCAGTGAAGTTCCAACTTTAATACATAAAAGTCACCAATCTTAACGAGCACGAACACTCCTAATGGTCAAACAAAAATAATTCAAATATTCATTTATATCTTGACTTGTTAAACCTAAATCATCCATTTCATTTAGCAGTCTAATACTGTCTCCTCGAACAGGATGAAAATGTGCAGATCCACAAAAACCACGAGTAAAAGAAGCAAAAATGCACACCTCAAGTGTATAGTGAAATTGAGTATGCAACCAGCTGTGAATTATTGAATATTATTGAAGCACGAAAGATGGCATTGGGTAACAAAGAACTTGCATTTCGAAAAATAATGAAAACGATGATACATTCTTAGACAGTCGTTACATATTTGAAGATCAGGCTCAAGAACTACCAGCTCTGCAAAAGCAAACAAGAACGCCAAATTATAATTTTTTATACTACAACTTGCAAATTATCAGATTGTTACTACAACATCTTCTCCCTCTCTCTTTCCCAAGCAATCATTCTGAATCACTTTCCATGCTTCCCATAGCTTTCAATCCTCTAGGTTTCTGCACCAATAAACATTTGAAAAAGCATTTTTAAAGCCAAAACTGAAAAAGAAATTGGCATAAAATGTAAGAAAACGAAGCAATATAGAGAAGGATATCAGTACCTTCTTAGAAGTCTTCTTCTCCCTCACTTCATACCTCTCTTGGCACAAATCAGACAACCACGCACCGGGACTTACCAACTACACAAACAAATCCATCCCAAATCACAAAATGATCGAATGCTTTAATAATTTGGATTTGTGTATATACAAATGACTTACAAAAATAGTTCTTTGGATCAACTTGGCCCTTTTCTTAACCCTCTGAGGCAGTTTACAGCCTTTCATAGCCATAAAATCTTCCTCCTTTTCCTTACTTGACAAGGTAACAAGTAATTTTGGCCAAACAATCTTTTTATTTTCCTCCTTTGGATTTCCAAAAGCCTTGCTACTATCATCAAATGTCCCCGACCCCCTTGTGTAATATCGATCTTCTTTCTCAGGTGATGAAGACGTTGATGCTTTTAGGTTATCATTTGCACCAGATCTAATCATTCCCAAGTCCCTGTTAAGAAAAAACCAAAACATTTAGCACATTTTTCCAACTTGTGACAAATTTCTACTTCCCATTTCAAGTACAGAAAGATATATATCTCTAATTTGGTTGCACGTAGAACCAACAATCTACATTAAAACTCGTTAAACCCCAATTTTTTTTTTTCTCTTCTTTTCCTTTTCATAAAGCACAAATATCAAATTTAATTACCAAGAAGACTTCACCTAAACAAATGAGAGATGATAGGTGTGGATCTAACAACCGCACTTCAACCAAACTTCTTACATATTCTCCAAATATTCACCAGATATAAGAGCACAATCGAATCCACTTCACTAGCAGTTAAAACTACAAAATTCAAGAATCATCGCCCAAATTTCAAAAACTAACAATATTTCCAATGCAATTTTCAAAATGTAAAAAGAAAAAGCATCAGTCTTTTTCCATTTAAACCTAATCTTGTTACCTGTTGGAACGTTGAGGAGATGGAATAGGAGGAAGAACAGATGATTCTTTGTTTTTGTTACTACTATTATTGTTATTATCAACAACCCTCGATGTGATTTTCTTCTTCACAACACCACTACCACTCCCAGTTCCATCTCCATCTGATTTCCTATTCAAAGATGAATCTCTCATTTTTACACATCTCAGTCTCTTCCTGTTCCCCCACTGCAACTTATCCATGTATGAATCTATATACGCATGTAAATATCTGCAGCAAAACAAAACCAGGAAAGCCATAAATTTCGTGAGATTTTTTACTTCGCATTCTAAAAAATGTAGTTATTAACAAAAATAAAAACCCACTTCAAGATCTGTAGAAAAGACTTCCTAAAACCATCCAAGTATACATCATTGCAAAATCCCGTACAAAATATGAAAAATAAAACAAGAGAGAAGGAATTACAATATTCAGCTTTGGTTGCAGAGCAGCCACGGAAAGTGATAATTTATCTGATAATAATAAAGAAAAGATTTCGAATCCCTCAACAAATTAAGTTGAGGTTTTTGTAATGTATTAGAACGCACATATAAAATGAAATGAAATTTGGTGCTTCTTTTGCACCCTACAGTCAAAAGTCAAAACTGGGTGCATTTTGTTTCTGACTTTTCATTTTGGGTAAATTAAGACAGCTGAATCTTGGTCTTTGATTCTTCAATGGACGGTAAGATGGACAACTTGATCATGCCTCTTGGAGCGTTGAAGCTTGAAGGGACCCTCCATGTCACGTGACTCTTTCACCCTGAGATTTTGCTTTTTACTTCAAATGGCAAAATTTTATAGTACTAATTTTATGCACGTGTTATACTTGTAATTAAGTATTTTTTTAGCACTATATTAAGTGAATATAAAATATAAAAATAAAGTGGTAGATGTACGTTCTCATATTTTGTCAAACTTAATATCGTAACCGAAATTCGAATAACAAATTTCTTCAACCATTTGTATCAAGACCAACCCATAATTAATAGTTTTGCAAGAGTAAAGAATTTGAATATTTAGCATTAGTAATGAAAAGTAAAGAATTAATTTTCACTCAATAACAAAATAAACTAAGTGTCCATTTGGTTCTCATTTTTTACTTTTAATTATTCAATTTATGGGATCCGTAACTTTTATCAACTTTTCAACCACACATTTTATGTATTTTTATCAAAATCTATTAACAATCTAATTTTTAATGAAAGTGGACATTCCACATCTCATTGGCAGGTCCGTCGTCAAAGGTGTTGCAGCCGCTGATGCACAGTCACCCAACTCCACCTCCGACGGCCCATTATTTGTCCAAAACCTTCTTTGCCTCACTTACAGCCCTCGCTTTTGGTTTCGATTTTCTCTTCTAAATGTAATCTCACGCATCAGCCATGATTGCCTGCTTTACTTTCAGTTCGTTCTTGGTGCACAATGACGCACGTGACCGAACAATATTATCTAACTTCGTCCAATATTGCTTACCAGACGTGTTATTGTTTATGATTGTATAGGGTAGGACCCTTTTTAGTCCCCCCAACTCATTCCTGCTTATTGAAATTACTTCTAATTTCTAAAGTATTATTCGACTAAGTGCATAATTAAGTATCGGTAATTAGTCCTTTCTTTAATTATGTTACTTAAAAAGGCCAATGACAGTCAGTAGACAAAGAAAACCTATTTGTCAAAAATGGCAGAGAATTGAGATCTAGCTACAAGAAAGGTCGTCCTGAAAAAATCAGAGGATGGCTATCCGACTGCAAGGAGACAGGTAGAAAAGAACGAGAAAAAGATAAAACTTCGTCTGTGCATAGAGCATCAAGCGACGTTCTATGTAATTGCGAATAGAATGCTAATCTTCAAAGAAACCCAATCTTAATCAAAATTACAAATTTCAACCAATACAAGTCTGGATCTCTCTCAATTACTCAGTATTCAGTAATATACATCGGAGATATATGTTGCCAAATTTACACGACTGATTTGTTCTACTGAGACGAAGCTGAAGGGGACATATGATGGTTTCACATATTAGTACTCTCAAGATAAAGAACACAGGGTAGAGAAAAGCTTACAACAAGAGAAAACTTGAATCAAAGTGCTGCAGAGGCCAGTTCTTGCAATCTCATACAAACAAGTTCCAGGTTGCTAACCTTCAAGATGAAACGCACACAAGCTAGTTTACAAGTCTCTGGATGGGAATGCTCTTGTTAAGGATGACTCGCCCAAGGAAACAGATGCCAGAGATGAAGCCCAAACCCGAGCATTTCTAGCCCCTCTATGGAAGTTCCTAGTTTTACACAGATTCAACTTGCTCCAAATTCTCTTGATATCAATCAGTTGGAAAACACGTCCTAAAAGCTGCCTTGACTCTCCAAAGATTCCCATATTCAGATGAGGAATGTGTGCAAGCCACAATGCTATTGCCTGAGATACGATCTCTGGGAAAAAATATAGGAAAGCCCTTGACAAGACGAATACTACAGACAGTACTAGATAAGGTTCCCGCGAGACTGTGCCCTTCAGTGAGGATCCACTCCAAATCTGAAGGACTTTCTGATCATTCTCTGAAGAACTTATTTTATCTTTGCTCATCTCCACTACTGGATCAAGCCCTAAGCAAAAAATGATAAA